TGTCTCATTCTTTGAATTTGCATGGTACATTAACAATATTTATATTGTTATTCTTTTTCTTTTAACGAATTTTTGGAACGGGGGTTAAGTCTGTTTCAAAAGTAATATTCTAATATTGTTATTAAGTTAAAAGAAAAAATAAATTTTCAAGTCATTCTGAAAAAATCAAAAAGTAGATGAAAATCGGTGAAATAATTTTCTGTGTTTATGTACTTTTTTTTTTCTTGCAATTCAAAATGTAAAAGACACATTTTTGATTTATTAACAGTTAGAATGTTCTAATAACTTGATAATCATTCCAAATCAATATCTTGTACCACTAGCTTTAAGTCCGCCATGTTATGGCAAACGCCCCGTAGCTATTGTGAAATTTTTAATTTAGTTCTTTAAGTTTTATTTTTATCAATTTAGTTCTTTGTTTCATATCATCATTTTAGTCATTTTTTAGTTTCTTTTTTCGTTGGAGATCACTTCAGAACTAATCTTTAAAAATTTCTTCCTCCCAAGTTATTTTTTGTTATGAAAATATGACTAAAAAAAAAGACTTAACAAAAGCAAAATATTAAAATTTTAAAAGATATTATATAAAATTTTTATTTTTTTTTAATTTAATGGCTCCTATATATATTGATGGTTATATCATTCCAAACTAATGCTTTCAGCATTCTATTTCAAAAGAATAGTGATACAGAATATGAAAATTTAGGATTAAGGATATAGCATAAATCATATGATTAAATAAATTAATGTATATAATATTATAGATCTAAAAAATTAAAAAATTAATCATTAAATAATATATAATTTATTTTTTAATATTTTAAATAATATAATTTATACATATAATTGATTCTAAATTTTAGACCTAAAATTTTTAACCCATTCATCATCATCCTGTTAAGAAAAGTGGGGAACATAAAATTTTCAAAATAGAGACTAAAGGCAAATGTATCCTATTGATTGATGGTTATGCTTGATTAATTTCCCTTTTTATACGAGGTAAAATTTATAGTAAAAATTAAAATAAAAATTTTAAAACTACCCTGTAATAGTGTTATTCTTCATAACTAAAAACGAAAAAAAGCATAATGTTCAAATCCATCCTCAAAATTTTGCAGTAGGACAAATTTACCCTCTAAAAGAAAAAGACAAATCACCGACAACCTTTTTGACTTGGACAAATTAGTGAATATATAAGGTTTGACGTCATCCTCCCTAAGCAATCCTTTAATTCCAAGCTTAGTTGGCCAACACGCTGGACACTTATGTGGGCCCTATTAATTGATTTGTACTTATCACATTCCTAAATTAACCTTTACATTGCTTTAAATTTATAAACTCATGCTGCTTTCCAAATTTTCTTTAGCTAAATCAGGTCTACGGTTCGTACTTGAAATTTTGATTCAGCGACGTGACGTCACATATAAATGTATTTTATTTTCTTCATAATAATGGTTTGAATTTCATTGTTTGTGATTTTGTTAAAAGAAAACCAGGTCTACGGTTCAATTTTAGTTTTTTTTTTTCCTTACAAAAGATCTACATATCTAGGTGATTATCCCTTGTCTGGACCCCTACACCAATTCTGCTCACAAATGGGTGCAATTTAATTGGTAAAAGCTTTCAACATGATTACGATATGGGCAATGGCACCTTCAAAATTTCCAAACAGGCCAATTTCAAATTCAAACAAGAAGCTTTCACCTTTTGAAGGATAATTATGTATATTCAATGAAATATAATGGAAAACCCACAAGTCTGATCTTTATTTTCTTTGAGATGAAGAAGGGAACCCAAGGGGTATTTGATGAGAACCCAGATCTAAGTTCTCACTGGGCTCTCAAAATCAAAATCTAGATGGCTTCTTCGAAATCCATCTTCGAATCTTCAAATGCCTCTTGTAGATCTCCTATTTCCTCCAAATCTTCCATCATTTTTTTTTTTAATTTTAAGGAAGAATAAAAGGTAGCCATGGAAACCGCTGGAGTTGGTCTTGTAAGGAAAAGGAAAAAAGCAGCAATGGAAACTGCTGGGTTTTGTTTGGGTGGAAACTGGAAAGAATGAAAGGTTGAGGAACTTCACCCATTTGCAGGGACGATGAATGGGTTGATGAATAATTTTATTTTTTTTATTTTTTTATTTTATAATTATACTGCAATATTTGATTAAGTTAAATGAAATTATTTTTTTAATTAAACAATCATGTTGAGTTATTTTATTTTAATTAATTGACTTAATTCATTTGTTTCAATTTTTCTAATTGGGATTTAGGTTTCATTTATTTAACATAACTCAGGTAATTTCCTTTCAATAAGAGACACTAAAATAAGAAAGGGTTTGTCTAATTTACTTTGAAGGTACATATTAAAAGAATTTTAAATGTATTTTTTATATATTAATTTACATAAAAA